AATCAAGCATGATTTGATGTTATATTTTGACAGCGAAATCGCGACAAGACTACAGCACGACTTATTATATCGAATACTGATAGCAAAACTGCAGCAAAAACTGAGCACAGCCGTTATGACTACAAAAACGTGATATAGAAATTGCGTTATCAATTGCTGAGGAAGGTAAAAACGCAGCAGAAATGACGCATATTAAATAAAGATAATTTATCATACATTTAATTTTTATTAAATTAAATAAATACATTTTTATTAAAGAAGTACATTTAATCAAAGATTTTGCTAAATAGAAATTGTATTTTTAATTTTTTTGCATCTTGAAGTATTAACAAATGAACATTCTCCGTATTGAGAGAATTATTACTTGATTTTCAAAAAAATCAATTTAATATTCTGAATTCTCTATAGGAATTATGTTAGAAAATAAACTAAGAAATTAGGTAAATACTACATATTTTTAATATTTTTATTTTCATTAGCCGCGTCAGGGCTTGCGTATAATAGAACAAATATTAGGAACAAGAATAAATATTAAGATTTCAATCTATCAAATACCAATTACATTAGAATACACGGTTTCTGATAGATAGAAATCTTAATATTTATTTCTATTCCAAATATTTCCTCCATTGTGTGCAGAACCGTCTGCAGTCTTTATATTTGCTGTAATAGAGGTCTGTTCTTTTTAGCTAAAGTTCTTGCACGGTACATCTTTCTTCCTTTTCTCTCCACATTGGAAAGAAAAAGAGAAAAGATAAATCGTGCAAGAAGTTCAGCTAAGAAGAACAGGCTTAGAAATTTAAATACGAGATAAATATTGATAGATACGTCGCATAGCGATAACGGAAGAACTATGATCTGATATAACATTTCCATGCTGTGTTTCTGTTTTTGATGTTACTTTTTGAGATAACAGCACATGCTTGATTTTTGCCACGTTTTCGTCTTTATATCGTGCAAGCAGATAAATTCAATTTATGACGACATTTACCAGTATAACATGGTAATATTACGTGCTCTATTATGCTCGATTTTGGTTTCTGATAATAATGGGTCATGTAAAAAGTATCCGCCGTTTTTTGTCACTCGATGGTGTTGACCATCAACACCATCTAGTGACAAAAAACCGCGGATACTTTTTAGATGACCCAATATATTGTTTCAGCATGCAATGTTCAAAATATACTGTTTTTATGCCAAAAATTTCTTTTTTTAATTTTTGCAAAATTTTTTATAATATATTTTGATATTATAACTACTCGTTTTCTGTTACATTTCTATCGACACTAACTGAGATGCTCGGCTAGTGCTCGAGTTCTGTCAACATAATACGTGGCACACAAATAGTAATACATGATCTTGGCAGACTTGACTATCTGAGATAATATCGATTAAATTGATATGTTGTGATTTATTGTTCCAATATTAATTCATATGCGTATAAATATATTGCGTATAATGCAGGAATTATTTCTTAATAAAAATATCATTACATATTTGTATGACAATCTTGATGTTGTTAGGAGCTTTCGTAAAAGCTTCTTACTACTTATTACGTCATCATGCCTAAGCGCGCGAAATGTTGCTTTGTAATTAGTGAAACTTAATCGCTAGTAATTCAAAAACTATTATAGCCTCGAAATTTTCGTATTTGGTTTGTCTTAAAATGTTTCAGAGAAAATGTTACCAATCTTAAAAGAAAATGCGGCGCTTTTGAAATTGTATATACAATGAATTTTTGAAAAAATACTCTAATACAAAGATATTTGACTTGATAAGTGACTACTTCGAATGACTCGAAAATCCCTTCCCATTAAAAAAAAGTTTTATTGGTATTAAAAAACTTAGGACATTTAAAGTTACTCAAGACTATCAAAGTATGTTGTCCTATTTATCCTACACTTTTGATAATAAGTGTCTTCTCCCTATCTCTAATCATTTTCAAAAAAAACGTGGTGAATTTTTTATCAGACTCACCCTGTATATATAAAAATATATATATATATGCCTGTCCTTTTTTTGTTGAACTTCTTGCATCGTTTATCTCTTTCTTTTTTCTCCAATATAAATAAAAAAACGAAAAAAAAAAAATAAATCAAGAAGTTCAGCTTAAAAGAACTGATCTTATATATATGCATACATATGCTTACACATTATATTTACATCTTATATTTATTTTACATACTTATTTTACATACTTATAAAAGTTACAATAACCAATTTTACATACAAAAGTTAGAATAATAAATCTTTCACAGAGAGTTTAAAAATAGTAACTATTTCACACAAATATTCACCTTTTAAACGGTTTCTCTTTTCGGTGATGATATTTTCAACTCGTGAAAATAGCCATTCACTTGGAACGGAGAGATCGCAATTATACTTAAACATTTTGTAATGCTGTGTTTTGTAATTCAGAATGCATATTTATTAGCCAATATTTTAATGAATTGTCATCTATTTTCATTAATCAGCTGGAGCCATATGCCATATCAAAAGTTCAATATTGCTGCTGAAATGATGATACATTGTAATATCATTGGTTAGCATATCACTAGACAGTGCCAATAAGTATTGATATTTGAATATCGATGCTATATCGCCTACTGAGTATGTATGTACAGAGACACAAATGCCTTAATACCCCCAAAGTTGCACGCGTTTCGGAGAAGGCATGAGAAAGAATGAAAAGAAACAAAAAGGTATAATGAGACATTTATGTCTCCGTGTGTACATATGTATTGCGTGAGCCATGAATATGTGATGCTTATTTTTTTCTGATTTAATTAAACAAAACACTTATTTAGAATAAAATTTGATAAAAACAAACAGTTATAAATCTTTTCATTTCAGACTTAGAAGATAAAAATGAAGAAAATTAAAAAATACATTGTCTATATGAATCAAAGGATTTTATTATTCAAGGAAATCATTAAGAATTTGAAAATCTTGGAATCCAACATTTAACAATTTAATCGCTTCAAGAAGGAATGTGGAATCTAAAAATTCGAAGATTTAGGAATCCAAGAATTCTTCATCTCATCATTATCTTTTAATTTTAATAATTTTAATTTTATTAGAGATTAAGTATTTTCTTGTATTAGCATATTCTGTTATGAATTCTGAGAATCTTTAATAAATTTTTACCTTTAAATCTCATCAATCCCTTTTTTCATAATTATTTCTTAAAACGTTCTTAACTATATCCATCCTTAATAATTCATTTTCACAATTTATATTTTCTCCTGATTTCTCTACCCACTTCCTTTTCTCTCTAGTACTCCTTTCCCTTTTCCCTTTGTTGTTATTGTTACTACTCTAATAATAATACGGCCAACACTCATGTGAATTCTCTTACTTTTTTTATAGCCAGTTCGTTTTTTTATTTCATTAAAAGATTAAGACGGACGGTTAAATTTCAAGTATTCTTTTTTTATTTTTTATTCTGTTTGTTGGTGAGCCGATATTCGCTGCTGAAGGCACAAGGCTTTGCACTAGAACTCGGTCACCTAATCTAGCTCACTCATTTACGAACTAGTCTCATGTTCTTATAGGAATTTCTTTAAGCCTCGAGCAGAAGCATATATAACATCGTATCAATCGATATCTTGATATATTTAATAAAAATAATATAAATATTTGAAATTAAAGACTTATTTTGAAGAGTATTATACAAATCTGTCATTTAATAGATCAGGTTAATGTAATAATAAATAACAGCACATTTCATGATTGACTATTTTCTTAAAAGTGCAATCGCTCGAGAATTAATTCAATTCGACAAATTTCATCACTTTTAAACTACACATTACTGTTTTTCTAAATTATCAATCGCTACGCTCCCTCGTCCGATTGCTTTCAAATTTCCACCGATTTAGAACGAAAGATGATCGATTCATCTTAACCATATCATGCATCTCATTCGTCATTACTTAACTATCTTATAAAATTTAATCTTCGATCGTTTAACGGATAAAGGAAACCAATTTTAAATTATTTTATTTAATCGAAAATTGTAGTTGAAATAATAAATAATATGTTGGAATAATTCTGAAATTTTTAATTTTTTAGTCTTATATACTTTCAGATTTTTAATTTCTTTTGCACCATTATGTTCTTAATTTAATTTTCTTCAATAATATATAGAATAGGAAATAATTGTAAATGTATAACAGATGTGATATCTAGTGGATTTATACTGTGTTATTACTCACTATACAATTTTCGATTTAATAAACATTCAAAATTGATTTACTCTATTTACTTAAAATATATATTTTCATTCCTTAATAAAAAAAATATGCGTTTTCCCATATTTCTGTTTGAAAACAGTTCATTCAGAGATCTATACCATTTGCCCCCTCCCCCCCCCCAAAAAAACATCAGTTATATTCATTATGAATATTATATTTCTTCGCACATCTTTGCAGGACGTCCCATACATTTCCTTTTTATTTACTAAAAATGCATTTTAATAAAAGTTTCTGCTATAACGAGATGTTAAAAAAATGAAGTCATATAGTATACAATTACATTTAGCAAATGTTCTATTTGTTTTTTGTATATTATTTATGAATTAATATTCCTTAAGAAAATAATACATTTCAAAAAAATTCCTGTTTCATAACATTTAAATAACATTTATATATATTCACACAGTGTATCTTAAAAAAATATGTCTTTTGCGAAAATAATATTCCTTTTTTTTCTAGGGACGTCCTGTACATCTTTATATAGTTTGTATTAATAAAGATATTAATACACAGTTTCAGACGCGTCATCTTGTTGACGTGTAGATCCTTTCCAATCTTTCTTTCTTTCTTATTTTCACTCAAGTCTCTCCTTCTCTCTCCCTCCCTTTCCCTCTCTCTTTTTCACACACACACACGCGCGCATACACACGCCTATTCCCTACTCTTTCTCTTTCTGTCTAGTATAAACAATGCACATGCTAGCAAGATATATTATGCTGTATGAGTGATATAGACTCTATGCTATTGTTATATATATCATATCTATTTTCTTTTCTTTTTCTTTTTCGCGTTTCATTTATGCGAAGCTGCTTAACAGTTATATACGTTAAGGACTTCATTCCTTTTAATTTTTTTTAAGATGAATATCTGGAAAAATGCTGTTATTGATAACTACAGATTTTAATCTTCGAATTTGTTGCTCTTCATCAGCAACATCGGCGATTGTTTAAATCATTTCTTCGCGATCAATCACGATTTTTTACAATTAGTCTCATCCTGCCAACATAACTTTCTATCTTTCCCCTTTCTTATATTAACCGTACTTGCTGCTATTCATTTTCTCATGAATGACAAATGTGACAACACACATTCTTCAAATATATCAATACCTTATTATATAATACATTACATTTACATATCGATTGTGTGTAAGGATGTATCCAGGTAGAGGAAATAGCGATAAAATGTAAATTGCAGGTAGCTTTCTTTATATACCTTCAACCTCTGTTCTCTATATATCACAGCCTGGGCCGCGCCACTGCCTTTTTCTTACAACGAAATATTTTTATTCCCATTCCTTTCCTTACTCTTATTTGGAACATGTGTATCTTTAATTTTCTGCGTGTATCTTTAATGTGCGAGGCCTTTCCTGTTCCGCGTTTTTGAACCAATCCCACACGGTTCACGTAAATTTAACGCAAGCGACATAATATTTGCGATTATATGAATAAAAAAAAATATTGATATGATTAAGTAAGTATAACTGTTTCAATTTAAATAATCATAATACATGAAAATTATGAAAGTACAGATTTAATAAATGGCTATCTACAAAAGATCTACAAAAATCGACAGTTTCATGAATCACAAAGATACATCATTATATTTTATGAATCATTAATAAAGTATAAAGCAGGTATGTCCAATTTTTAGCTCCGAAGCCTAAACTCTTCCCTCACTCTATGCTCTTACGAAAATGAAATGAAGAAAAAAAATGAAATGAAATGAAGAAGGTGAAGCGTGAGATAGATGCTGAAACGCTAGTAATGCTGGCGCACCAGAATATTTATCTCATTATCTTCGGTATTTTATTTTATTTGATTAATCGATTTCAAATCGGATCAAATGATTTGGATCAAACCTCTCTAATCACAAATATTTAATTATGTGAATCCTGATCAATACTTTGTTTTTAAATGTATTTTATCATTTATCATTTCCACACATTTATAACTTTCCTTTTTTGCAGTATCATATATACATAAATCTACAAAGAATCTTTATAAAGAATACAATAACTTTCTTTGCGTCACACATAAGTCTCACGCGAATAATGTGGGACTGGTTTACATATGCTTGCCTTACAAGCCATATAATAAAGGATCGATCAATCTAAGGTGACTAAAGATGGTCAATCAAAAAAGAACAAAATAAATCTAAAATAGCACTAATACAATATGTTGACTTGCGATGTTGAGGCAGTGGCATAATGGTGCACTAGTATAAGAATTACGCAGGCCGTTTTCCACGTCCATGCGTCCATCGACGTCGTTGTTGCTATTGCTGCTACTGCGACGTCAAAAGATTTATTCAGCCGACTGGCGCTATCGCCATTAATCGGCGACAGGGAAACTAGGGCACCACGTCCCAGATTTCGGCGAGGAAAAGTGGCAGCTTCTTGTTCTTAAATTTCAGGTTCAAGCACATTTCACTGTTTTGATTACCAAGGGTTCTGAGTTCGGTTAGAACTGATAGAAGTTTAGCGAAGATCGTACCAGACTTCGGTCGACGACGATTATCCACGTATGCTTTCAGAGTCTTCAAGTAGATTTCTTGAAGTTTCTCCACTTTTCTGCTTTCCAACAAATTGGGTCTTTCTGCAAAACAATAATCATTATTACATACAGCACAGAATTTTCCATTGCAACAATGTTATGTCATTGCAATATAATTTAACAGAGATGTATTATATCTAGAGTCCGACCGCCACATTTTGTCCTTCGGTCAAAATCGAAAATGAATATTCGGTTGTCATTCAATTTCGGCCGAAACCGAAACTTAGATAAGTCTTACAAAGAGAGAGAGAGAGAGAGAGAGAAAGAGAGAGAGAGAGAAGCTAACGGAGTCACATTTGTTTTGGCTAGAGTTGAAATCCTTTTTGGATTAATTTCATAGAGATTTACAAATGCAGAAATCATGACAAATTTATATACTCTTTAAAAAACAAGATTTTATTAAAATATCTAACTATAATAATATAATAATATTGCATCCTCAACTTTTAAAGAAATCAAATCACAGTTATTATTAGAATCATATCAAAGTTTGTACTCAAATTATCTTAAGCTATTCAACGAGTTAATAATTAAAATCAAATAGTTGTATTTATAGTTATTTTTTTAACGCTCACTGAGCGTTGCAATTTGTATAGTTTCGATTTACTCATCGAAATTTCCTCTTAATTTCGGCCGAAACCGAAATCAAATCGAAAATTTTATTTTTGATCGAAATTGACCGAAACTGGAATTTCGGTCGGACTCTAATTGTATCTATTAATATTTATTCGCCATATTAATATAATATTAAATAAATACAAAAGAAGAGACGGCTAAATTGGATGTTTAATACTATACATAATATAAGTAAACACAGAAATTATAAAATCATAACAGATGTTTCTCAACTTCCATCGGGTCATTCTCAATGTTCAAATAGAGTTAAAATTTAATGAATGCAAAACATTATTAAAACGACAATTAAAAATTATTGAATAAAAATCCTAATAGTACAAATTACTTTCTTACATATTGATGTCGCTGACAATTTTTTGTGAAAAGTAGAATAGATGAACAATCGGTAATTCGTGAATAGGTTGGATAATCGTAAAAAAAATGAAACAATCGTTGATCTTATTCGCGGAATAGCTTATCGGAAAATTTCGGGAATAAGATCAGGTTCGTATCAGGAAGAAGAAACGATTATTAAACGCTTATAAAAGAATGAGTTTTAAAATGTTAATAGAGATTCCGGGGAAAAAAGTTTATATACATATAATTATACAAGGTATTTGGAAATTAGTGATAAGTCTTTCGCATAGGGGCAGAATAGACTAAGAAGAAAAGTCCTCTATCATTGTACAATTGTCGCAATGGTTATCGAGTTATTAACTTATGAAAATATTTGCCCAGCCCATCTCGTTAACCATTGCTACAACTAATTTCCAAATACCCTGTATATTTATATATAATTATATAAAATCACATATAATTATATATAACCATATATGGGATCATATGACATTTTTATCATATATGAATCATATATATGGCATATTTTTTCTATTATATGAATCATATATAATTATATAGCTTAAATTCATATTCCTTTATAAAATTTTTTTGCAGAACTGATGCCTTATTTAATTAATACATTGATATATACAGGATTGGTAACGTTACTTCATAGAAATAACTCGTTACAGTTACCATTCTTTTTTCCTAAAGAGTAATTCGTTACCGTTACTATCACTCAAAATGTAACAAGTCGTTACTTTTTCATAATTTTTTTTCTTGACACTAATAGAATATTATAGCATTTTTCATTGGCAGAATTCAGTGCATATTAAAGTTTTTATATACTATTCTAATCTGAACGTTAAAATGAGATATCTCAATTAATAAAATGCTCAAAATATATTTTATCAAATAGCATAATAAAATGTATTGGGGATTTCGCGGTTTAACTCGTTTTTATATTTTTATTAAACATATATCTTTACGTCGATTTGTGTACAACGGCTTTAAAGTGCATTACGAGTGCACACTAGTTATGCCAAATAAAAAATACTATTATATGAAGATTTTAACGGTAAATATTCTGAAATCAGAATATTATCTTTTAGTAGAGAAATAAAACTGATAAATTGATAAATGTACACACACACACACACACGCGCGCGCGCGCGCGCACACACACAAAAGGTGTAAATCCGATTGGGCAACCTCCACACGGTACATCTTCACTAATGCCGATGGTACTTTTAATCTTCATAACTAAGATTTACTTAATCAAAAGATACTTTATTATAGGGTTTTGGAAAGCTCTTGACGACTATTAGATTCTAGAATAAAAAGTAGGCTGTTTCATTTTAAAAAATTTATGTGACCTTGATTTGACCTTGGCAAAGCCACTCAAGGTCAAACTGACATGATCAATAAATAGATCTTTTTAAATCCCACAACTTTGGTCTGAACATATTTTTTGGATCTTATCCTGCGGAGATAAAAAGGGAGGACGGGTGATCTGAGATACTCTGTGTATATATTGAAAATTTTATATACTCATGCATACAGCACATAATTTCAAGAAATATATTCTAAAAGACTTCCATATATATTTTAAAAACGTTCTAAGATATCCCTTGAATATATGATTTTAGTTATGCGTATATTAAAAATCAAAACTGAACAACAGAGTTCTCTATTATATGTTAAGGTATAACAGAGAACTTCCCCCGATAAAAAATTTGTCATGTATGAATATGTACATAAACACGAATAAACATGTAATAATTATATATGAAATATATTATGTATACATGTTCATATATCCTTTTTTCTTTTATAAAATTATTTGTTAGTGTAATAGAAATAATAATAGTAATGTGAAAACATAAAAAATAATTAAAGGGATCATTTTCGCATTATTTGTTTTAGAAAAAACAATGGAAAAATGTGTACACAAATTGCTCATACATAATTATGTATAATTTTATATATAATTATACATAAATAATTTTTTTACATTGCTTCAAACTTGATTTTTTTTAAAACAAGTTTTAAGTAGTGCGAAAATTATATTTTTAATTATTTTTAATATTTTCACATTATTATTATTATTTCTATTACACTAAAAATAATTTTACAAAAGAAATAATTTTACATAAAAAATAATTTTACAAAAAAAATATGTATGAAGATCTATGGACATATTTCATATACATATTTATAAATATTTATGCATGTTATATATATTTATACATATTTATACATATTCATGCATGAACAATTTTTTGTCGCTTGTTCAGTTTGACTTAATGCACGCTACGATCATATATTTACCATATAATATATAAATATGATTTATGGTTATATATAAATTAGTCTTTGCAAGCGAGTATCTGCCGGTAGGTATCAAAACACTTATGTACATTATGTTCAGGAACATAAAATTTTTCTACTATATTGCAAAAAAGTCATATAAAATGTAGTTATTAATTAAAAAACATTGGCGAATGATCGCTTCCGAGTGCAGTGCAAAATGTAATACCGCTTGGAGAGAGATCATTGATTGTCAATATTTTTTAATTAATAATACTAAAGAACATAGTCTAAAAATGATTTTTTTGCCTATTAATACGATAATGCAAAACATAGTGAATCTTATATAGATTTCGACCTACTGAATAAGATGGTGTTATTAATTTATAAAAATAAAAATCAATTTTACATCATAAATAAAGTGATCGTCAAAAAAAGCTGGAATAGTCACTTAAGTCCAGCTTTTTTATGGTCACTTTATTTATAATGTAAAATTGATTTTGATTTTTTATGAATATAAAAACAAATTAATAGTAAATTAAATTGATAGATAAAACAAACATTCTTAATACTTTCTACTTTCATAAAAAAAACACATTTTTCCTAATTTTGGACTTATATCACTTGTCAACTAAGGAGCTCAAATAATTCACTCATATCGACGTTATGCATATTACCGAGAGGATGAAAAATAGGATTTTAACTCGAAAAATGTCCCCCGAATTTTCAATGAAAGCTAATATACGTAATACCATTATGTGTTCAACAGGTCGAAATCTGTAAGATTCACTATTTTGTACTTTTGTATTAATAGGCAAAAAAATGGTCTTTTTTTAAGACTATATTCTTTTATATGATTTTTTTTTTGCAAAATAGTATTTTGTGTTCAGCTTCACTTAATTATATACACAACGTTTTGACATCTATTGGGGAAGAAAGTTTATATGCAATATAAACAATCCTCTGCTTTGCATCATCACGTGAAAAAAAAGCAGAGCTTTCATTGGATATGACTCATCGCTCATTGCCCATCGCGTCCAGTGTGTAGTAGGCATAAGCGATAACAGCGACATATGGGAGCTGCTCGTACTAAACTATGGATGAATTTCGGATGTTCCGAATTGCGTAAAGTGTACATAGACATAATATCTCTAGACTACGCATTCGAGAAGTAGGGGGTCCTCATTTAGAAAAGACGCACTCACTTGGCGTCCTCTTTCGTTTCGCGCATGCGTGTAAAGTATATCTGTTATGATATCCATACAACTTGCATAGCCACATAAACGTATGCATAAAGAATTATTATTATTATAATTGTATGTGAATATATCCTAAGAGAAAGGATCGAAAGCACGAAGAAACTCGGCGGGCTAAGTCCGGCGTGTGCAAACTCCCTTCTTAGAAAGAAGGGAAACAATTTCAGCACTAGCTATGACCCGAAATAGGTCGAACTAAAAGCGGTCACGTGATGAAAAATGGGGATATGCCACACATATGCGCTATATGCTTGTCTCATACACATGTACAATGCAACCGAATAAAATCACTTTATGATGCTTCGCTGTTTTGTCTTTTCCTTTGTATTTAGCATTTGGACTATGGCAGAAAACAAGATGTAATGAGACGTAACGAGACGTAATCGTGACGTAGGGTAAGACAGAAAAATGTACAAATCTCAGTTGTGACTGATCGGTCTTTTTCGGTCTCCGAAGCACTTTTTTGATCAATCACGACTGCAACTTCTATATTTTTTTCTGTCCTACCGCTCAATCGACAGC